GGCCGAGCCGCGGCCGGGCGACGCGCGCGGCGCCGCGCTCGCGGCCCGGGGCCGCGTCGGCGCCGCGGCGCCGCGCGCGGGCGCCGGCGGGGGCCCCGTGGACCTCCGCGCGGCGCCGGCGGTCTACGTAAACCTCGACCGGCGGCCCGACCGCCGCGCGGCCGCCAGGGCAGGACAGGGGTGCGAACTTCCCCACTTCAAAGGCTCCGATCTCGGTCGTTTTCCGCTCGTTTTGGCCGACTTTTGGACGAGGATCATCTCTCGGAATGGTCTCGACGCGTGGACGCGAGTTCCGGAACGCGCGCGCGCGGAACGCTCACGTTGAAGCGACGTCGAATCACCCGTGTCCTGCCCAGGCGGCCGCCGAGGCGCACTTCGCGGCCGTCGGCCTCGGCCGCGCGGCCCGCGTCGCCGCCGTCGACGGCCGCTCGCTCGCGTGGGACCCGGCGCGCCACGGCCCGCGGCGGCCGTGGTGGAACGAGGCCGCGCTCGGCTGCCTCCGGTCCCAGAGGCGCGCGCTGCGCGACGCGGCCGCGCGCGGCGACGGCGCGCTCCTCCTGCTCGAGGACGACGCGATCCTCGACGCGAACGTCGTCGCCAAGGTGCGGGCCTGGACGGCGCACCGCGCCTTCGCGCGCGTCCCCTGGCACCTCCTCTACCTCGGCGGGAACCACGACCTCCCGCCCGCGGAGCTCAGCGACGACGACGACGACGACGACGACGACGGCGGCGGCGGCGCGCCGTGCCGCCTCGTCCGCGCGCGGCGCACCGTCGCGCTCCACGCCGTCCTCGTCCACCGCCGCGCCTTCGCGGGCGTCAGGGCCGACAAAGGGTGATTCAGCTTCGCTTCGACGTGAGTGTTCCGCGCGACCGTTCCAGAGAGAGGATCCACGCTTCGAGAGCGCTTCGAGAGATGATCGCTCGTCCAAAAGGCAGCCGAAACGAGTGGGGACTGGCCGAGATAGAAGCCCTCAAAGTTGGAAATTTCGCACCCCTCTGCTGCCCAGGCGGGCGTGCTCGCGCTCCTCGACACCGAGGCCGCGCCCTCCGACATCCTCCTCGCGCGCGACTACCAGCCGCGCTTCCCGTGCTTCGTGCTCGAGCCCCGCCTCGCGACGCAGCGCCGGGGCCACAGCGACATCCGCGGCGAGATCGTCGACTACGCCGCGCTCCTGGGGGGCGCGCCGACCGGCGACACCTGAGTCATCGGGACGTTACATTGTGGGTCCTTCACGCGCGAGGTCGCCTTCGAATTCCCGACCCATTCGGAGAGCTCGGAAGAACTCGGCCAGCGCCGCCGGAGGGGCTCCAGAGGACTCAGAAAAAGCAAAATGGGCCGCCCCGCTACCGCCCTTGGGGAGAGCTCACAATACAGTTGCGGTAACGCCAACCTTGGTGTCGATAGTTCCCTGGAGTTACTCGAAGCGCAGCGCAGCATGGCTGAGCAGCAGCCCGAGCCGCCTTGGGGGGCGATTTGGATAAACGACAACTTGCTCGACACCTGCGTCCGCAAGGACGAGTTGGAGCTGTTCGTCGCGCAGCAGCGGGCGCGCACGGACTACGTCGAGGCGATCGCGAAAATCCCATACAATGACATTGTCATGCTCTTGTAGATAGTTCCGGGGGATACGGGGAACCCCGGAGGACGCGTGGGCACACGCGTGGTGTTCCTGTGCCGCGCGGGTGGTGCAGTGCGCGACGGCAGGTTGACGACGGTGCCACGTGTATTCGCTTTCGCCTGGGCGTGGGGTTATCGATGTTTCGGTGTTATAGGAGCTCGTATGTAATGATGGTTGCGGAAATTGGACGCTGGTCTTTGCAAGTAGATCCTGACACGAGGATGGCAACTCAGTACGAGTCGCACAGCTGCGGATTTGAATTGGAACGCCCGTTTTGTTTTGCGCCCTCCGCCGCTTCTACTGCTCACTGTTCAAAGAATGTTGTTGTAAGATGCGCTAATTTTTTTTTTGGGGGGGGGGGGATTTCTTGGTGTGCTCGGTTTGGTGTCGCGACAGGCTGAGTTCGCTCACTTTGGGCGTGGAGTTGTTTTCTTGTTTTCTTTCGTGGTGCGGGGGTGGTAGTGGGTCGGGCAGGTCGGGGGAGCTGTGGAGTTATCGTGTCAGCGTTCGTGGGGGGTGGGTATGTGGCCGTTGCGTGCGTGTCCGTCCGTCCCTCCGTGCGCCCCCTCCCCTCCCATTCTTCGAGTTGGGAGGGGGCGCGTTAAATTTTTGGTTGTCTTAAAATTTTCGTGTGCCAGAGATACAAGATATGTATGTATGTGAAAAGTCGCACTATCGTACGCTCGGCCGGCCACACGTGCGACGGTGCCGCGATGACGCCGTGCGATGCGACCAAGCACGTCGACGGCAACGAGTGCAGGGGCTTGCCCGGCCGGCCACACGTGCGACGGCACCGCGGCGACCAAGTGCGACGCGCCCAACTACGTCTGAAGGTGTGGTAGAGTCGGGTACGGTAGTCCCTGTGGATGGGGATGGTTGCGCAGTCAGGCTTACCCCTCAGTCTGCCAGCTCGGGGCCGGTGCAGCTGTTTTAGATGTCCTTCAGGCAAAACCTTGAGGCGTTCGCGGTTGGCTTGGCTATTAGTCGCACTTGCTCAGGCTCTCCCTTAGTAGATTCGCGTCGCTAAGCATCCGAATCCGTTTTTTTTTTGTATCTCACATGGCCGCGGCGTCGGCTAGCAAAGGGGATGGCTGCCCTGGTGTTAACCAGGCAGCGAGAGCGGACCGTAACTTGAACATCTGCGTGTTAAATTGTTGGGAGCCGTAGCGTCCCTACCGCGTGCGATTAGCCTGTGACTTTAGGTGCTGTTAGGGGGGGGATGGCGGGAGGGAGTCGCGGACGGTCGACCACGCGTAGCGACGGGTGGTGCCGTCGCGGAGCCGGACTGGGTACTGGCCACTACCGTCCGCTACCGTGGATACAAGTGGCGGGGGGGGTGGATTTCCCCGGACATGACCTGCGGCTTACCGCCACCTTGTATGGTTGGACCCACATCCTTCTCCACCGCATGGGGTGGAGCGTTAGCACTCTCGATGAGTGCCGAGATATGCTTGCGATTCTTCCATTTCTTGCGCGGCAGTCTGCGCATTATATCCGCCTCATGAGGTCCGAATATATCGCGCGGTCTTGTAACGCAATGCACAAAGGGCGGCATCCTCGGTCGACCGGGTCCTTTCTTAAACGCCATGACGCCACGCCGCCGACGATTGCAACAGCCGGGGACATGCAATGAACGCCCCGCCGAGGCGCGTAGACGCCCCCTAGACCCCCCGGAGGCGTGTGGAAGGCGCGTGCGACGGGTGGTATTATACTAGTAGTCCCCCCCCTAGACGGGGTTGCCCTGGGATGTGGCCTCATCCGTCGGTGCTGGTAGTGCCGGTGCTGGTCGAACGAGGTGGGTGGACCCCTTGGTTCCACGCGGGAGAGTGGGACCGTTTCGACGGCACCGGTTGTGTCATCCTGCGCACTCGGGTTCCGGTGGTCCGGGCCGGTGGCAGGTGTAATCGCTTCGACCTGCGCGGGTAGACTGTTTGGGATGGCCCTTGTTAGTATTGAATTCTCGTCTGCGCGGGGACTGGCTGCACGCCCTTGACACGTGGGTCGGGACCTATGTTCCGTTGGCGACGCATGTCCCCGGTTGGCCAATACCGGTGGGCGCGTGCCCGTGCAGCTCACAGATTTTTTTGAGATGATGTAAGTTTTGGACTTGTAGTGTTACGCGTAGTAGGAGGTGTGTAAGTGATTGGCTTGATCTGAGATCAGCCCCCCCAGGCTTTGCTCGTTTTGTCAGATCTGGGCTAAAACGCGTCTTTCGCTAGCCGATGCAGCGGTTCCAGGACTTGGCGCGGCGCTCGGTCTGTGGACCTTGCCGCGCCTCGGGCCCGGGTGCGAGTCGCTCGGGAAAGACCATCGGTCGAAGGCGAGCAACTTAGTTCGCGTCGGGGCAGCCCGTGGATGACGAGAACGGCCGTTAATGGTGGGGGGCGACCGACGAGAGGCCCAACTTAGTTCCAGGGCTCGAGCGGGCCGCGGCATCTCGAGTAAACACCGCCTGGAATGTCCCTCCCGAGTGGCCTGTCAAGGTTGCCGCGGCCCGAACGCCGCATGCATTGCGCAGTGAGCGCCGTGTCACCCGCGGCGCCGCGCGCCTCCCGGAGCCGGTGAGGTGATCTCGATCAAATCGGCTCGAGCCGAAGGGCTGCCGCGAGGGCATCTGATCGCCCTCATGACGAACGATTCCCGACGCTCTGTGACTCGAAGGCGACCGAAATTCGGGTCGGGGGAAGCTGCCGCGCCCCATTCCACCCCCTGAGGCTGCCCGTTTGCGCCACCTCGCAATCGTCCGGATGTCGCGTCTTTTCATGTGCCTCACCCACATGTTTGCGGACCTCAAAGCCGCTGGGATCGTTGCACGTCGCTGCATATTCGAGGAGCACGGGGCCCTCTAAGGTGGAGATTCCATCAGCTGCCATAGCAGCTTCGAGCGCCTAACTAATCCAGGTACTCGACGTCCTGCCGGGGATAAACGATGGTTCGACCGTAGAGCGGCAGGACGAGTACGGGACACGAAGCAAAAAAACGGGACAAACGCACGGAGCGACTCCTCAGACCCCCGGGGGTCGCGCCCTACCGGTGGGGTGCGTCCCAGGAGCCGCGGGGCCCGGAACTGACGCGCCTGGGGGGGTCGATTTCAAATCGAGCCGATTCGACAGTCTTTGTGGTGGGTTTGTGCATTGATCCGCTGCCCGCATTTTGAAGTAGGCTGGAGCGGTTATTGTTCCCGGGGACGCCGGCTTCGTCCGGATGGGGTGCGTCGACATGGGTTGTCGTTGCGCGTGGTGGTGAGTGAGATGGGGGTGGCGTGCCGGTGGCGGTCGGGACCTCGACCCTCTCTCGCACCGCCACGCGCAACGACAACCCATGTCGACGCACCCCATCCGGACGAAGCCGGCGTGCCCGGGAACAATAACCGCTCGAGC